TCCGGAGCCAGACGTGGGAACAACAGCCCTCTCTGGGCTGGACGTGGGGACAGAAACACTCTCTGGGCTTGACGTGGGCTCCCTGTTGAGCTCTGCGACGTGAGTGGGCTTCCTGTTGAGCTCTGTGACGTGAGAGCATTCTGCAGTGGACTCTGGAGAGCATTCTGCCTCCCGATTCTGGTCTGGGGCTAGAGCCATCTCTCGACTCAGGTCAGGGCCTAGAGCCCACAGTCTCTTCCTCCTCATTCTCCTGAACCATTGTTTCGGTATGTGGAGGGTCCTGGCGTGGGGTGAGCTGGAGAGGCACGGTGTGTTTCAGAGGGGGCTGGATGAGGATTATTTAAATTTTCCTTTATTTCTTCTACCTCAAGTGTAGAACCATTTAAATAAAGGATGAAATTAATCAACTCGACCAAGGGAAAATCACACATAGGGAGATCACAACAGATTGTGTCCTCATCCAGACCCATCTGAAAACAGGCATCTGAAAACCGAGTGCAGCATCGTGCCAGCTCACCCGATACATGACTTTGCAAAATGCAGAGCTCATGTTTATTCAGTGAAATCATAGCCTTTTGAAGTTTGTCACATTAAGCTATATCTGTCGCGGGTCTACTGTGTCGGAGCATGGAGTCGAAGGAGATTTAACTTCAAAATGTTTAATTAACTCAATAGCAGGGAACACAGGGCAGGCATGAGACACACGTAGCACACACCATGGAAGTACCAAATGACGTTAACACTGGCCGGGACAAGGAAACCAGGAACAGACACCACTATACAGTATATACACAACTCAAACGAGGTAATTAACAAGACACACGTGAATCAAATATGACAATCAGACAAGGGAGAAACTAGGTCACGGAGCACATGGGGAGAAAACACACCAAAACAGGAACATAGGTCTGACAATATCAGGGTTCTTGATGTTCCGTCCCAAAAATAACATTTTAATACCAAATACCAAAAGACTTGAAAAAATTGATATAACTAAATGTAAGACTTTTTAAGGACCCGCGGAAACCCTGGTAGCTATAGAGTTTTAGATACTAAGTTTTAGATACCAAGTTGTTACAATTAAGAGTGGTTGACCTAATTTTACACCATAGTTGTTAAAAAGGAAAAATAGCCATTTACTCACCTTCATGTTGTCGCAAACCTTTATGACTTTCTTTCTCCTGTGAAACACAAAAGATTGTTTAAACTATGTACACAATATTTTTTAAATTTACCATTTCTCGTCAACATTTTTGGGGCAAAAGAGTTATTCCAATTGTAATCCATGGAATCAGGAGTTTTGTCTTGAGGGTGCAAAATGAATTACACTAAGTTTCAAGTTGGTCATGTGCATTTGTAAGTGACTTTTGAAAGTGACTTCTATGTTAGCTGTGGTTTATATATCGCTACACTACTGACATCAGATAAAGGACCTTTTTTTGCCCGAAAAATTTTGCTTTACGTTTCTGTAACAGTAAAGTTTGTTTATAGTTCATTTTCACTACATCTAAAACTCAAGCTTGTGTGTCTTATTCTTAAATGCCCCTCTTTTGTAAATGCTACATTGTACTTAACTGCTTTTTCATGAAATCTGTTTGACTCTCTCTCCAGTTCTACAGGATTCTCCTTTGGCGAATGGCCACGCCCACTCAGGGCGGGACTTCCTGCGGAAGCAGATGCGAGGAGAGCTCTTTACACCGCAGCAGCTCGAGGTATTGGACCATGTCTTTGATCGACAGCCATATCCCGACATTTACCCCGTCCCTGACAGCAGCAGCTACAAGCTCGTCCAGGTAAGGGCTGGGGGGTAGGGGTGTGTATCCTGCCACGGTGGTTGTGTGCACCTCCTCTTAAAGCTCACGCTTGCCCTTGCCTGGCTGCCAGTATTGCTTGACCCTGTCCCAACCCTGCTGTTGACCTATGCACCCCCACACTGAAGCTAATGCTGAACTTTCACCTCTCTGAGCTAATGCTGGGGCTTTGACCCTGCTGGTGCTGACGTCCCCCTGATGTAGAGTTTTTGGCTGAGGTTAAGTCTCAGCACTGCATAGAGGTTTAGGGTTAAGTAGCAAACACGTTCGTTAGTTTGCAAAAGTTACCCACATGGCATAATGTTTGTATGTCCAAGTGACCATATCAGAAATCATTATTAATGCATGACATAGTGGCAGTCCCGGGACGCTTAGTGAAAAAGTAAGTTTAGTTTAGAGTGATGTAAGGGAGGGTACATAATGTCAACATTTTGAGTTTAAAGCAAATGATCTGTGAAAGATGTGTCTTGACTGGATTGGCTAAATTGTGAATAGATAATTTCTGTCACAGCTTTTTAGACTAACACTTTTTACCATTTTTGGGGGAAAAATCCCTAAAATTAGGCCTTTATTCTGGTGAAAGAATGCCTTTGCCTCGTTCTAGTCTTTGCCTCCATTCTGGTCAAAGCTATGTCTGTGTTTGTAGTACTTGTAAATGATTGCAATATGGTTAGACATGCTGACACATAACAGATAGGATGCAAAAGTACAGCTGTATGCACATACAGACAATCATGTGATGCATAAAAATTGTTCACAAGAACAGGCAGTCAAAGATGTCACTCAAAAGTCAAATACTATTACCCCCACATTCATTCAGGCACACATACAAGGCCAGTGTCAGAGTTCTATAGACTTGTCTGAAAGACCCCATAATTCCTCTGTCCATTTCACCACTGAGTGCTGAGGCTGGCAAGGTCAAAGGCTACTGAGCGGGGCATTAACCTTAGGGTCAATCCACATCCCTTGGGTGTGTGTGAGTCAGGTTTGTTGTGGCACAAATGATCAGACAAATTGAGAACCGGGAATTTTGAGCTGTCTCTTTTTCAGAAACGAGAGTGTGCGAGAGAAGTATATGCTAAGTGGTCTTGTGTGATTGACTGACGGGTTGTTTTCCTTCCACTGACAGAGTGAATGATGGAGGGCTTGACTCTGTTTGAGTGTGTTTGTCTCCTAGGGGCATGAAATTAACTTGGGACTTGATTTTGTTCTTTCCTCTATAGCTGCTGATTAGATTAGGGTACATAAGGGCTCAATTATATATAAAAACTATGGTGTGATTATATAATTCATTCTTTCAGATAACCTAAAAGTGTGCTTTATGTAGTAACATCAAAATAAATGACAACTATTTAATATCAAATCAAACTGTTTACGTTAAATTACACCAGTGAAATCCGCCTCTTTTACGTTTCTTTCCACTTCTCCGCTCATTTGCTCTCTCCATCTCTCAGTTTGTGGTGCTGGAAGGACCATTAAGCACTGGCAGATCTATTAATTAGTGTCCTGCATTTCAAGGGGGAGCATATAAAACAGTGCACGCTCGTGAGAGTCATTTCATTTGAATGTTCCTCTTTCCATCTCCTTACATTATGCCAGAGATACATCAACAGCCCAGCAACCCTTACACTGAACTAATTACTCCACCAGACCAAGAGACAGAGAGAGAGAGTGATAAAGGCACTTTCCAGGGAAATTTCCAGTCATTCATAAAGTGAATGTTTTTTTAAAATATGAATTTCAGAGGTAAATATTAATGTAGAGTTCAGAGCAAAAATGCATGCAGTAGTTTGATTCAATCATTTAGAACAATTACGTACATATAAATACAAATCACTGCTGTTACCAGCTGAAAAGAACACTAAGACATGAAACTGCTTTGTTTGGTCTTCCAAAAGAGGACACGACTAGAAATAAGTTGTATTTACAACACTGTCCAGAACTGTTCAACCCAAATATTCAGATGTGTCCAGTGCATTTTATGGAGGACTG